TTGTGATACAAGTAGCACATGGTGAGTACCCTGCTGACCATGGGTCATTTGCTGGGATCAGAGCTACCTTTTTACCCATTATAGCTTTCCGTAGCAGTCTTCTTACACTGATCTAATAAGAACTGACTTACTAGTGCAGAAAGATATTGTCTAGCTCACAGTTGGATTCCACTTCTTTTTGTATATCTTCTTGAAAACAGAGGACAGAAATGAACACCCTCATTCTCACCTCACAGAAAAATCAGGAACTGCAGCAGTTTGTAACATTCTGCAGGCAGCGTCAGTTTCATTTATATGAAGTAGCTGATGCTGAAGATTTTTCCAACAAACAGTCATCAAGAGATGAGCCAATCCTCATACCTGCATGAAGGCATTTGAGACCCAGCTCGGTTGTCCCACAAATAGGTGTCCAGTGCTGCTTGAGGTGTCTCAGGTGAAGTGAGAAATCCCATGGCAGGTGACACAGGACCTATGTAAGACTTGAGCTCCTCTGGAGTGGCAGCTGGGGAATATCAAAAGTCTCTAGATACCTCTAATGGGAAACTCAATTAAGTCTTCAGTGTCCGTAAAGAAGCGCAGGTAACACTAGTTTCCTCTAGTTGTAAAGTGCAGAGATAACCTTTTTTCTTAATTGATGTGATCTGTGTATGATGACAGGCTGTTTTGCTCCCTCCTAACTGTTTTAGCATTGGATTGCAATACATATGTTCTTCTTTCAATAGCAGATCTTATATTGCTCTAAACAAGTTAATTATATTTCACAACACTCTTGTGCATTAGGGAAGTATTAATATTCCTGTTTTGCAGTCAAGGAAGAAGGGAGGAAAAGAAAGGGTAAGAGCTTACTGAAGGTTAAAGAGTAAGTCAATGGCAAAATCTGAAGAGGAAACTCCAGGCTCTCAACCACAGCTTGAATTCCCCACAGACTACTAATTCCCACGCTAAATGTAAGGATGATAATAAATGCATGATTTTAAGGTTCCAAACTGCAGAAAGCCATCCTACACAAACGATGTCTTTGTGAAAGAACGCGGGAAATTGTATCAAAACTTCAGAGTTCCAAAAGGTCAGTGTAGAGCTAAACATCTACCTGGAAACTCAAAAGGCTTTGACAATCCATATCACTCGAAAGACAGCAAAAAACTGCAGGCACAAAGGATGGAACAAGACTGAACCTGTTTACTAAGAGCATCACCAAGACAGATATCCTTCCCTTGGAAAAGACATCTTGCCATCACCCTGCAAAATAGTCATGCTTGGGCATAATTTCTGAGCATATTGGAAACAGTCTCATGTGCCCTTCTTTTCTACCAAGAAACAGCAAAATTAAGCAGATAATTTGTAGGAAAAAAAAATTATATTTCTGTAACATTCGGATGTTTCAGTCAGGATGAGGGACCCACTGTGTTTTAGGTACTGTGTAAAAATATACATGCAAAGAGATTATAAGCCAATTTAAGTATGGATAACAGGTGGGTGTAACAAACAGCAGGAGGAATTCAGGAAAGAGGAGAGATGAGAACAACAATTATATGAATTAATGTCTTCATACATTGCTATAAATGCAATCTTATATTCTGAAAAGTATGGATGGGAAGTTGTATGAGGTATGGAACTAAAAATCTGGTCTGTCATTAATTGCAGTTATTATTGCTTTACCTGAATTTCACAAAATGGGAGAAGCAAAAATCAGTGATAAGCAGATCAAATGTTTTATGATTGTGTATATTGAGATGATTCCACCAGGAACACAAATGGCAGGCTTGTTTTTTAAAATATAATGTGCCCAGCCTCCCCTAAAACAGTCCTGAGGTGTCTGCTTGGGTTTCTTACTAATTTCTTACTCCATTCACTCACTGCATATGAATAGTATGGTTTTTAATCAATATATGTGAGATTCTAGGACATATTTCACATTGGATTATTAGCAACAAGTCCCAATAACTTTTGGGATGGAATTTGATCTGTTTGTTAATGGGATTATATAGTTTGATTGCCTGGGATAGTAGGGGACTTCACTGGAGGAATCTGGATCCTATACACTTTCAAGTTTATGAAATATTTGGTTTATCTAGAAAACATACTGAGCATTTACAGTGAACACACAGATATAACCTATACCCAGACAAGCGAAGATACCACACAACGGGATAAAAACACAGTTCAGTCTCCATGACCTGTTCGTTCCAGTTTAGTGGCTGAGAAATCGGCCTCCCATTAGCTGTCTGTCAGACACCATCCCTCATGTCAGTTCTATTCTTTTAAACGTGTTCTCTTCACAAAGTCTTTCAATGGTATATTGATCTTAGCTGATGTGAACTGAGAATACCAGTTTTATGCCAGATGAAAGCTACCAGCAGACTCTAATCTATTTATCTATGTAAATACTTATAGTTCAGTAAGCATTATGGAGTTCGAGCATTAATTCATTTCAATGACTATCATTCTGACCTGGGTTCAAACGAGCAACATCATCAGTCTCAAGCCAGCCATATCTCCACAACGAGGGCCCTGGCCTTTAGAAATGTGTATAGTTTCTAGAAAATATTGCCTGGAATAATCAGACCTAAACAATCTTTGAGATACCATAGCCCTCACTTACATCATTGGACTGCTAGCTTGCTTGCCAGGAACATCAGTTGATATATTTCAAGTACTGTTAGCACAAGTTAGCACAATTCCTACTAGACAAAACTGTGGAAACTGCACGTTCTCTGTCTGACAACCAGAACAGGGCATGATCATACAATAGGCGCTGAAATGAGCCTGGCATTTGAGTATGAACATTTAACTGGACATGAGCTCCGCTTTTAATACTTAGGACTCTTTGTATCCAGCTTTCTACATGTTGATCTTTGTATTTGAGAAAAGCTGCTTCAGTTCTCTACTCCAAGGATATCACTTAGGATGCAAAACATAACATCGTTCTTCACAGGTACATGCAGAGAACAGACTACCTATGTGACTGTAAATCAAATTCATTTTAGGGCTCTAAAGTGATTTTGTGTATATCTTTGCTAACATTTAGATCTATATAAACATATTTTTGTTTCAAAAAGAATGGAACTCTGATCCAAGTTGTCTTCTACCCACATCATTAATTCTTCAGCA